GATGACATTCGGCATATCCTTGATGCCCAAGGACATTCTGTCCTCCAGGTAGACTCGTTTACTCGTCCCCCTCGTGGTCGTCGCCGTCAACCCCTTCGAGTTGTGAAGATCACCTTTGGTGGTAGGACCCTTCCATCCTCTGTCATTCTTGCTGATACCAGGTGCTCTGTCCAGGAGTATATTCCTTCTCCTCGGCTTTGTAACAAGTGCTGGAGGTTTGGGCATGGTGCCCTACGCTGCTCTGGGACTGTCTCTCTCTGTCCTTTGTGTGGGGGTGAAGGTCACTCTAAGTCGGAGTGCACTTCTCCCCAAGCTCGCTGCCTCAACTGCAGTGAGGCCCATCCTACCTTCTCCCATGCCTGTATCCATTACAAGCTTGAGGCAGCCATCCTCAACTTGAAGCACTGGGAGCGTTTATCTTTTCCCGAGGCGAGGCGCCAGGTTTGCCGGCTCCCGCCTTATGCTAATGTCTCTTATGTTCGCGTGTTGCGCTGTTCCTCTCCTCGTCCTTCCCACCTTCCTCAGACTCACAACCGTTTCCAGGCCTTGGACCCTGATACGTCCACTGCCCCCTCCTCTGTTCCTTTGAGTTCTGCCAAGAAGTATCCCCCTCCTGGTCCTCTGTCTGGGGTTCGCCTTCTTTCTACCCGATCTGTCATGTCTCCTGTGTCTTCTTCCTCGTCTCCCTCCAATCCTCCTTCCCATCCTTCTCCTCCATCTATTGACTCTCCCCGCCGCTTGTCGGTGCAGGCGGATGTCCATCGCTCTCCTAACGGCCGTCGTGTGTGCTCTCGTTCAGCTTCTCCTGTTGAGACGCTGGAATCCGTTGCCCGGTTCGTAGTTGCTGGGACACCGGTCTCTTTACGTCAGAAGCGTAAGCCTGGCTCCTCTCCTTCCTCCTCCCCGGCGGGCAAGAAGGCTTCGCTTTCTTCCTCGGCCCCTACTACTGGCTCTATTGCTCCTTCCCCTCCCATTTCAGTGGTTGCGCCCCTGGACCCCGCCCGCCCACCTCTGGTCTGTTCTCCTGCTTCCTTCCCTCCGTCTTTGCTCAGTTTACCCATGCCCCCTAACCCTGACTTTGCTGACCCTGATCCCGACCCTGATATTCTTTAACATGCTATGTTGCTCTTTCGCCTTTGTTTCTTCCTTGTTCTCTGTTGTTGTCCTTTCTCTTCTCGTCGATGTCTATTCTTCAATGGAACGTTCGAGGTTATTACGCCAATTTCCTCGAACTCCAACTTCTAATTTTGCGGTTTTCGCCCCTTTGTGTCTGTCTCCAGGAGCCGATGCTTGGTGCTCGTCCTGGTCGTTTTCGTGGCTATTCCTTTCTCCCCCCCCCCCCCGGCCGTTGCTGGGCCTCCTAATTCTTCTGCTCTCTTGATTCGCGCTGATGTTCCCTTTGTCCCCTTACCTTTTCCTTCGCCTCTCCATTGTTCTGCTGCTCGTATCTTTGTGGGGAAATGGTACACAGTTTGTTCCATTTATCTCCCCCCGAGTGTCCTGCTTTCTCTTCCTGATTTGAAACACCTTCTGGACTCCTTGCCAGAGCCTGTGCTCCTACTGGGGGATTTCAATTGTCGTCATTCTCTTTGGGGTGATGTTCTGACGAATACCCGAGGTCGCCTTCTTGAGCCGTTTATCCTCTCTTCTTCCCTGTCTCTTCTGAATTCTGGTGAGCCCACTCATTTGGACTCTCGGACTCGCACCCTTTCCTGTCTTGATCTTTCTCTCTGCTCTTCTTCTCTTTACTTAGATTTCACGTGGCAGGTTCTTGATGACCTCCATGGCAGTGACCATTTCCCCATCCTTATTTCTTTTTTCTCTTTTTGCCCTTCCCTCTCCTTCTCTAGGTGGCGGTTTGCTAAGGCGGACTGGAACCTATTTACCCTCAGTGCTGCTCTCTCTGACCTCTCCTTTCTACCTCTCCCTCGTGCTCTTCTCCTTTTTCATGACACTGTCTTCGACGCAACCCTCCGCTCTATTCCTCGCTCTTCCTCTCGGATTCCGCGGAAGTGCGTTCCCTGGTGGAATGCGGACTGTGCTCGGGCTGTCCACTGTAAGCGTGCAGCCTGGAAGAGGAACCGCCGTCGGCAGACGGCCGATTCTTTTCTTTTGTATCGGAAAGCGAGTGCGGTGGCCTGTAGGCACATCTCAGTATTTACTGAGTCTGTATAATCGGATCTGGGAGTCGTCGTCAGTCCCTGAGGACTGGCTCGATGCCGTTGTCCTCCCTGTTCGCAAACCGGGGTCTCTGGGTACTTCCCCTAAGGACTTTCGCCCTATTGCCCTCAAAAGTTGTGTCTGCAAACTCTTTGAAGGTATGGTTAACGTTCGTCTGATGTGGTTCCTGGAACACCATCACCTCCTCTCCCCTTCTCAATTTGGTTTCCGCAAGTGCCGCAGCACGAAAGATGTTCTGGTGAACTTGGAGGTCTATATTCGTACTGTTTTTGCTGCGAAGACCTCCGTTGTTGCCGTCCTTTTTGACCTGGAAAAGGCTTACGACACCACTTGGCGATATCATATTCTATCTCAACTTCATTCTTTTGGCCTTCGTGGTCATCTCCCTCTCTTTCTCCGCAGCTTCCTCTCTCGTCGTTCCTTTCGGGTGCGACTTGGTACCGCTCTCTCTGCCTCTTTTCAGCAATATGAAGGTGTGCCCCAGGGTAGTGTTCTGAGCACTACTCTTTTTCTAGTTGCCCTCAATGGTCTTCTTTCCTCTCATCCTTCAGGTGTCTTCTCCGCTTTATATGTCGATGATCTTACCCTTTGCTGTCAGGGTGATGATTTGCCTCTCCTTCAGCGCCGGCTTCAACTTACAATTGATGCAGTGTCGTCTTGGGCCACCGATCATGGCTTCAAGTTCTCTACTTCTAAGACTTGTGCCATGACTTTTACTCGGAAACAGGTCGTTCTTCTTCCCTCTTTGTCACTTTATGGTCATCGCCTTGAGTACAAAGATTCCGCGAAGCTTTTGGGGTTATTCCTTGACACTCTTTTGTCTTGGTCTCCCCATATCTCTTACCTCCGTGTTGAGTGCTTTAAGGCCCTTACCCTCCTACGGGTATTGTCCCATACTTCTTGGGGGCAGATAGACGCACTCTCCTTGCTTTACATTCCTCTCTCGTCCTGTCTAAGCTCGATTATGGTTGCCCTGCGTACTCGCCTGCTTTTCTTCTACTCTTCGCCGTCTTGATGCTTTGCACCATACTGGGTTGCGCCTCAGTTCTGGTGCCTTTCGTTCGACTCCCGTCTTTAGCTTGTATGTTGACACTGGCTTCCTGATTCTCCAGGACAGCCGTGATCGCTACTGTCTTCGCTATCTTGCGCGGTCCTTACAACATCCTTCCTCTCACCTCTGTCGTGCTTTAACTTTTACCCCTCCTGCGGTTCCTGTTCCTCTTCACCACCTCTCTCTTTCTGTCCGGTTATCTTGCCTACAGGATTCTCTTTCCGCTCGTATTTCTAATGTTTCTCCTCATGTTGTTCCATCTTTGCCCCCGTGGAGAGTCCCTCTTCCGCGGTTTTGTACATCCTTGACCCGCATCACTAAAGCTTTTACCCCTCCTACGGTTCTAAAACGCATTTTCCTTGAGCACTTTTCTTCTCACTCCCGCTCCGTTTCTGTCTTCACCGATGGGTCTAAGTGTGCGGACGGTGTTGGCTACTCTGTTGTTTTTCCTGATCGCACTTATATGTGTCGCTTACCTCCAGAGACTAGCATCTTTACAGCGGAGCTTTATGGTTTTCTCTATGCTCTTCGTCTCCTGCTTTCTCGTTGTCAGTCTTCCTTTGTAGTTGTTGTTGATTCTCGTAGTACCCTCATGACTCTCGGGTCCTTTAATCCGGTTCATCCAGTAGTTGTTGAGATCCAGCATTGACTGTTTCTTGTTCACAGTAAATTTAAGTCGGTTGAGTTTTGTTGGGTTCCCAGCCATATTAGTGTGTCTTTAAATGAGCGTGCGGATGCTGCCGCCAAGGAAGCTGTCTGCTCTTGTCCCATCTCTCGTAAAGGTATTCCATATTCTAACTTTTACCCTGTTATCCATTCCTCCGTCCTTACCCGTTGGCAGGCTTCTTGGTCGTCTGTTACTGGTATGAACCTACATACTCTTAAGTGTTGAGTTTCCTCGTGGCCAATATCTTGAGGTTATCTTGAGATGATTTCGGGGCTTTAAGTGTCCCGCGGCCCGGTCATCGACCAGGCCTCCACCCCGAGGAAGCAGCCCGTGACAGCTGACTAACACCCAGGTACCTATTTTACTGCTAGGTAACAGGAGCATAGGGTGAAAGAAACTCTGCTCATTGTTTCTTGCCGGCGCCTAGGATCGAACCCAGGACCACAGGATCACAACTCCCGTGTGCTGTCCGCTCGGCCGACCGGCTCCGTCCTCCTACCACCGTAACCGGTGATGGGAAACAGCTCTGGCGAGGTTGCGTATTGGCCATACTCGCTTAACCCATGGTCGCTTGATGGAGCGCCGCCCTGCTCCTTATTGTCCTAGTTGCATTGTCCATCTTACGGTCGTGCATGTCCTTCTTGAATGTCTTGACTTCCAAGACAAGCGTGTGTTTTGCTTTCCGACCGCCCCTCGCGGTCACCTGTCCCTCAATAGAATTCTTGGTGACTCGGATACTTTTCATATCGTTCGCCTTATGCGTTTTTGTTCTCGTATTGGCATCCTTGGTGATATTTAGCGCCCTCTGATTATTCCGCACATTTGATGGTGCTACATAGCCTTCCCGGTTTGGTGCCTTCTTTTGATAATTACTTACTTTCTAAGAGAAGTTCCGGATCAGCCGGGCTGTGGTGGGTATGTGGCTCCGCGGGCCGCTCCAAGCAACAGTCTGGTTGACCAAATTCTCACAAGTCGAGCCTTGCCTCGGGCCGGGCTTGGGGAGTAGAAGAACTCCCAGAACCCCATCAAGCAGGTATCAAGCAGGTATAACATTTAGTGTGGGATGAGGTATACCATTTAGTGGGGGATTAGATATACCATTTAGTGTGGGATGAGGTATACCATTTGGTGCGGGATGAGGTATACCATTTTGTACAGGATGAGGTATACCTTTTGGTACATGATGAGGTGTACCATTTGGTACAGGATGAGGTAAACATATGGTACAGGATGAGGTATATCATTTGGTGTGGGATGAGGTATACCATTTGGTACAGGAAGAGGTATACCATTTGGTACAGGATGAGGTATACCATTTGGTACAGGATGAGGTATACCATTTATTGGGGGATGAGGTATACTATTTGGTACAGGATGAGGTATATCATTTATTGGGGGATGAGGTATACCATTTATTGGGGGATGAGGTATACCATTTAGTACAGCATGAGGTATACCATATATTAAAGGATAAGGTTTACCATTTGGTATGTGATGAGGTATGTCATCTGGTACGGGATGAGGTATACCATTTGGTGCAGGATTAGGTATACCATTTGGCATGGAATGAGGTATACCATTTGGTCTGAGATGAGGAATATCATTTTGTGTGGGATGAAGTATACCATTTGGTGTGGGATGAGGTATACCATTTGGTGCGGGATTAGGTATACCATTTGGTGTAGGATGAGGTATACCATTTGGTGTGGGATGAGGTATACCATTTGGTACAGAATGAAGTATACCATTTGTTGTGGGATGAGGTATACCATTTGGTGTGGGATGAGATATACCATTTGGTGCGGGATGAGGTATGCCATTTGGTACAGGATGAAGTAAACCTTTTAGTACAGGATGAGGTATACCATTTGGTACAGGATGAGGTATACCACTTATTACAGGATGAAGTATACCATTTGGTGTGGGATGAGATATACCATTTGGTGAGGGATGAGATATACCATTTGGTGTGGGAGAAGTTATACCATTTGGTGCAGGATGAGGTATACTATATGGTGTGGGATGAGAAATATCATTTGGTGTAGAATGCGGTATACCATTTGGTGCGGGATGAGGTATACCATTTGGTGCGGGATGAGGTATGTCATTTGATGTAGGATGAGGTATACCACTTTGTGCGGGATAAGGTATACCATTTATCGGAAAATGACCTAATCGTCTATGATCAATTTAGATTAGTCAAAAGCGTTTGATGGAGTGGATATGAATGTTGTGTTTCTGAGCATTGGAAAAGGTAATGTTTATACGGGGGTTCTTAGAGCGCCATATGCCATAAGTCTTTAAGGGTACCTCCTCGTCGGTCTGTAAGGGTACCCCCTCTAGTCGGTCTGTAAGGGTACCCCACTAGTCGGTCTGTAAGAGTACCCCTCTCGTCGGTCTGTAAGGGGACCCCACTCGTCGGTCTGTAAGGGTACCCTCTCTCGTCGGTCTGTAAGGGTACCTCCCTCGTCGCTCTGCAAGAGTACCTCCCTCGTCGGTCTGTAAGGGTTCCCACCTCGTCGGTCTCTAAGGGTACCCCTCTCGTCGGTCTGTAGCGGTACCCCCCTCGTCGGTCTGTAAGTGTACCTCCCTAGTCGGTCTGTTCCGGTCCCCCCTTTGTCGGTCTGTAGGGGAACCCCCTTCGTCGGTCTGTAAGGGTATCCCCTTGTCTGTCTGTAAGGGTTCCCCCCTCGTCGGTATACCTGGTTGATGGGGTTCTGGGAGTTCTTCTACTCCCCAAGCCCGGCCCGAGGCCAGGCTCGACTTGTGATAGTTTGGTCCACCAGGCCGTTGCTTGGAGCGGCCCGCAGGGCCACGTACCCACCACAGCCCGGCTGATCCGGAACTTCTCTTAGAAAACCGTCCAGTTTTTTCTTGAAGATGTCCACGGTTGTTCCGGCAATATTTCTTATAGTCGCTGGGAGGACGTTAAACAACTGCGGACCTCTGATGTTTATATAGTGCTCTCTGAGTGTGCCTATGGCACCTCTGCTCTTCACTGGTTCAATATTGCATTTTCTTCCATATCGTTCACTCCAGTACGTTGTTATTTTACTGTGTAGATTTGGGACCTGACCCTCCAGTATTTTCCATGTGTATATTATTTGGTATCTCTCTCGTCTCCTTTCTAGACAGTACGTTTGGAGAGCTTTGAGACGATCCCAATAATTTAGGTGTTCTATCTCGTCTATGCGTGCCGTATATGTTCTCTGTATTCCCAATATTTCAGCAATCTCTCCTGTTCTGAAGGAGGAAGTGAGTACTGAGCAGTACTCGAGACGGGACAACACAAGTGACTTGAAGAGTACAACCATTGTGATGGGATCCCTGGATTTGAAAGTTCTCGTAATCCATCCGATCATTTTTCTGGCTGACGCGATATTTGCTTGGTTATGCTCCCTAAACGTTAGATCGTCGGACATCATTATTCCCAAATCCTTGACATGCTGTTTTTTTACTATGGGAAGATTCGATTGTGTTTTGTACCCTGTATTATGTTTCAGATCCTCATTTTTGCCGTACCTGAGTACCTGAAATTTTTCACTGTTAAACATCATGTTATTTTCTGCTGCCCAATCGAAAACTTTGTTGACATCTGCTTGTAGTTTTTCAATGTCTTCAGCAGAGGTAATTTTCATGCTGATTTTTGTGTCATCTGCACAGGACGACACGAAGCTGTGACGTGTATTTTTGTCTATATCAGATATGAGAATAAGGAACAGCAGTGGTGCAAGGACTATACCTTGAGATACAGAGCTTTTAACATCGGTTGGACTCGATTTTATCTGATTGACTGTTACTCTTTGTGTTCTGTTCGACAGGAAATTGAGTATCCAGCGTCCTACTTTTCCAGTTATTCCCATTGACCTCATTTTGTGAGCTATCACCCCATGGTCACATTTGTCGAACGCCTTTGCAAAGTCTGTGTATACAACATCTGCATTTTGCTTTTCTTCAAGGGCTTCTGTGATTTTGTCATAGTGGTTGAGTAACTGTGACAGACAGGATCTTCCCGCTCTAAATCCATGTTGTCCTGGATTGTGCAATTCATTGTTTTCCATAAAACTAGAAATTTGTTCCTAATCACTCTTTCATACACTTTAATTATGTGTGATGTTAGTGCAACTGGCCTATAATTTTTTGCCAAGGCTTTACTCCCCCCCCTTGTGCAACGGAGCTATATCTGCAGATTTAAGTACTGCTGGTATCTCCTCTGTATCCAGGCACTTCATATTACGCTGAGTGCTCTCGCTACTGGTACTTTACATTTCTTTATGAATATTGAATTCCATGAGTCAGGCCCAGGAGCTGAGTGCGTAGGCATATTGTCAATTTCTCTTTCAAAGTCTTCCGAGTGTGTGGTAATATCCGTTATATTATCTGCAGCTTGAATGACATTCATAAAGAAGCTGTCTGGGACATCAACTTTCATGATGTTTATTGGTGTACTAAACATAGCCTCATACTGGCTTCTTAGAATTTCACTAATCTCTTTGTTGTCCTCTGTGTACGTACCATCATTTGAAATTAACGGTCCAATACTGGTCGAGGTTTTGGATTTTGATTTTGCGTATGTGAAAAAATATTTCGGATTTTTCCTTATCTCTTGTATACCTTTCTGTTCCAATTCCGATCTCCCTGCTTAGGCTTGTTTTCCTTGCTTGTGATAGTCGTGTCTGCAGAAGCATTTCCGTTATTTTTTTCCTTCTCCTGTACAGTCGTCTGCGTTCTCTTTCTAGAGTGGTCCTCTTTCTGCCCCTCCTCACAGGCACGTGCTTCAAGCAGACCTTGTAAGCTTCAGCTGTCAGTTGAGCTATTCCCTGTGTGGGAGTTTTGTCGCTTAAGACCGTCTCCCATTGAATGGTTGCAAGGTCTATACTTATTTTTTCCCAGTCAATCCTCTTAGTGTTGAAATTGAATTTATTGAATATTCCTTCTCGCTTGTTGGGTCTGAGACCTACTACCGTTATTTATGCTAGTTCGCACTTCTATGAGTTTATGGTCAGAGTATGTAGTATCTGAGATTGTAATGTCTCTGATTAGTTCATCATTGTGAATAACAAGTCTAGTGTGTTTTCGTTCCTAGTTGGTTCTGTAATCTGTTGATTGAGCGAGAATTTGTCACAGAATCTCAAAAGTTCTCTAACCTGTGGTTGGTTATATCCCGGGTCATTCCCTGCTATGTTATTTGTGTTTACCATTCTCCATCTTAGCCTCGGTAAATTGAAATCTCCAAGGAAGATAATATCTGGAGCTGGGTTTGCTAGGTTGTCATGTATGTTCTCTATTTTGTACATCTGCTTTGTGAATTCCTCAATCGTTGTATCTGGCGGTATATATATTAGAATAATAATTAGGTTTAGTTTCTCTACCTTAATTCCAAGTACCTCTACCACCTCATTAGTTGAGTTTAGTAGTTCTGTGCATACCAGGTCTTCTTTAATATACAGACCTACTCCTCCATTTGACCTAGTTTTTCTATCACATCTATATAAATTACAATTTGGAATTAAGATTTCACCATCCATGTAATCTTTTTTATGAGTTTCCGTGAATGCCCCAAATATTGAGTTTGACTCTAATAGGAGGCCATTTATGAACTTAACTTTATTCCTTGACTTTGGCTTTAAACCTTGAATGTTTGCAAATATGAAAGATTGTCCATATTGTGTGTCACTTCTGGAAGGTTTTGGTAGTTCTCCCTCCTCTCTACCCTGACCCATGGTGTGTTTTTGTGGCAATGGTTTGTCCAGTTTTGGAAGTGATACTGGGGAGTGTGGTAGTCTCTGTGTAGTTGGGGGGTGTAGTATGTGTGGGCTTGATGACGAACCGTAGTCCAGTCTTGGGCATTTCCCCCTCTCCATCCGCACTCCTGCCACGTTTCTGCCTGTCTGTTTCTCCCTCTGTTTGTACCTGCCTCTAAAAAATTTTCAGGGCTATTATATTGGACTTTCTCTCTTATATAGTGGTATGTACCTCTGACGTGGAAATCGTGGCAATGAAGATCGTAGCATTTCCTCTCATTAACTGAGAGTTTGCATAACTTAGGGTGAAAATATCTACACTCTGTATCAAAACGACATCTGCCTTTCCCTAACCAGTTTCGGCATTTCCGTGGGTGCATGAATGAGCATTCCGTGCCTCTGGGCCCATATCTGCACCGTCCTTTTGCATAATACCTGCAAATATTTTCATCTGTGATTGTATTCTTATTGTTTGTACCCGTGCACGACTTGGCTACCTCTGTGATTTTTGTTCCAACTTTCTCGTTTCTGCATTCATTCTCGGTATTGCCCTTATCTTTCTCCTTGTTGCTTTCGTCTTTCTCATTTGTGTTCTCAATCGTCTCATTTTTTATCTCCTTATTCATATCACCAGTTTGCTCTACAATATTGCCTTCATTTTTGTGTACCTCGACGCTATGTCCTTCTACATTGCTACTTTGGCTCTCTAAATTCTCAGTCCCTGGGTTGTGCTCAGAGTTCGTGGCTGTCTTTATATACTCTGCATATATTTCTGGTAGTTTTAGTGTGATTTGTAGCCTGTGTATATAAGTGTACCCCCCGAGTCGGTCTGTAGGGGTACGCCCCTAGTCGGTCTGTAAGGGTGCCCCCCATCGTCGGTCTGTAAGGGTACCCCCTTGTCGATCTGTAAGGGTGCCCACCTAGTCGGTCTGTAAGGGTACTCATCTCGTCGGTCTGTAAGGGTACCCCCCTCGTCGGTCTCTTAAGGGGTACCCCCCTCGTCGGTCTGTAAGGGTACCCCTTTCGTCGGTCTGTAAGGGTACCCCCTAGTCGGTCTGTAAGGGTACCCCCTAGTCGGTCTGTAAGGGTACCACCTCATACATCTGTAAGGGTATCCCCCCCAGTCGGTCTATAAGGGTTCCCCCCCCCTCGTCTATCTGTAAGGGTACCCCCATCGTCCGTCTGTAAGTGTACCCATCTCGTCGGTCTGTAAGGGTACCCCTGCTCGTCGGTCCGTAAGGGTATAACCTATTCGGTCTGTAAGGGTTCCCCCCTCGTCGGTCTGTAAGAGTACATCCCTCATCGGTCTGTAAGGGTTCCCTTCCCTCCCCCCTCATCGGTTTATAAGGGTACCCCCCCTCGTCGGTCTGTAAAGGTACCCCCTCGTCGGTCTGTAACGGAACCCCCTCGTCGGTCTGTAAGGGTACCCCCTCGT